TAGAGGAAAAAAAAAATTTTAGAACTCCTTAAAAAAAAGTTTTCTAAAGAATCTCTCTTTTTACCATGTTTATAAGAAAGGTGGTGATAATGCTTTCAGGAAAACCTCCTTCTTAAGAGAGGCAAAGCAACCTTGCATTATTGAGTTAGAAAGGAGATGAATACAAGAGAATATAAGAAAGTCACTGATCAGGTAAATTGTAGGACCCTCTTTGCCCTCTGTCAGAGAAAAAAGACATTCCATTAATTCAAGATGCAAGTATTTAATAACGATGGAAGAAAATTTCTTTGCCACTAGGTAACACTGAGTCCAAAAGTTTGATGGGATCCCAAAAAAGAACAGGCAGTCAGGATTTATTAGAATTCCTACAAATTCACTAAACGGCATTTTAAATTAGAAGAATTACAAAGCTTATGGGTTTTAAAAGAACTGTTAACCAACTCAGAATCAGCTAAGTTGGTATATCCTTCAAAATCAGGCATGAAAAAAAATAATTTTTATTTCTCAAATGTTTGCAATTTGTTTTTAAAGCATCTGGTTGAAGCCAGCATCAGATACAGGAGATCAAACTACCCTCATCCAGAATGTCAAGTCCTACACTACCCGGAACGAAATGACAAAGAAATAGTGACAGTTGTCTCAACTCTGAGTAAAGATGTCCTCGAATTCCAGAAAATCATTTTTATTGGTGTTTGTGAAGTTACAGTACTTGCCTCTCTCTCAAGTGAGTATCAATCCAAGTCAAATCTGGAGAGCAGGAGGAAAAAAGAAGACAGTAGCAAGTGTAGGATTTGTAACAAAACGTCAGCAGCTACTAGGACTTTAATGTTAGCATCTGGATGACTGTTAATATGCCAGTATCCAAATTCAGAACTAGTCCAAAAGGCAGAAATTAGTTAAAATAATAAAAAACATATGGCATCTGGTTTGCCACGTCCTTTGATAAGGCATTACTGCAGTCATATGAATGCCTGAAGTAAAGCAATAACTGACACCACTGTAGCACAGAGGTCAAAGAAAAGAGACAAAACAGAAAGACTAAGAATAAAATGGTTTCTGAGAAAGATTATAAACAAAAAACCTTTTCATTCTAAAAATCCTTTTTAAAAATACTCCTGCCAAAATAAAACCTTCTTTCCATTATAAAGCAGAAACATAGTTTCATATGATCGCAAAGATTGCCACTTAGACGAAAAACAAAAACAAACAAAAAAAACCTCAAACCAAAAAACAAACAAACAAAAAACCCACACCCAAACACAAAAAGGCACATAAAATATTTATTTAGGAACTAGACTTTCTGCAGCAGTTTTTTATATCCTTGCTTGATCTCCCTACAGTTCTTTCTATAGAGACCACTAATAACTTCAATTACTGGGAAAAGTTAGCAGTGTGTTTACTTCATATTTCATAAAATGACTTTTATATAAAACTTACATTTTTAATACTTCACATAACACAAAATAATTTAATGTTTTTTATTTGCTCCAAATGCCATTTTCATAGCTATCATATTTATCATACGGCATAAAAGACATCTTCTGTATGAGGAAAACATAAAATCTGCAGTCTATCACTACAATATATTATCATTAAATACTGCAAAAAAAAGATAAGAATGTAAAACCAAATCTTCCCCACACGGTTTACGTATATGTAACACTAAAGGAAGCAACTGCGAGATAGTAAAATAATATGCAACATACTCCATCTACTGGCAAAATAAAGCAGTAAGACAAAGTTTTACTATACAGCATCCCAATAATTAAAGAGATGCTAATGTTTTATGCGCTAACGTGTACCTAAACCACTTAGCAATCACTAATTTACCAAACACACCACACTGCACATTGCTGATAGTTTCCTTTTCCACACACGTACATACAAAGGCAAAACGGGACCCTTCCTATCGGTGCCCAGTGACAAGAGGTAATGGGCACGGATTGAAATACAAGTCATTCAATTCAAAATTAAGAAAAAGAAATTATTGTGAGAGTGGCCAAGCACTAGAAGGTTTCCCAGGCACATTGTGGAGCCTCCGTTCTTGGAGATACTGAAAAAACAATTGGACACAGCCTTGAGCAACCAGCTCTGAGCAGGGGAGTCAGACTAGATGCTCTCCAGAGGTTCCTTCCAACCACAGCAATTTTGTGATTCTGTGATTGTACAACTACTTATATCAGGCTTTTGACCTATGTCCCATTTTCAGTTCCTACCAGAACACTTGCACTTTTCTCAAAATACAGAGTCAATATGTAAATATTTTAAACTATCTGTGGCAGAACTCTCCCAAATGGATTTTCAGCAACTTCTAGTAATGCAATACTTTTAAAACTAATACATACTGTGACACACAATCCACCACAGGTGCACCTTCAACAAGGGAGATGGAGGTTACAGATTAAACCTAACTCAGGATCGTGTATCACAATGCCTTCAAATAGAATAACTATTTTGTGCCGCATTTCTGATAGCCCATCTGGTCTAATCAAATTTTAAAAAAAAATATCTAAAATACATTAGAAAAATTAAATAAATCACAAAATAATAAAGTTTCATACGAAATACACAACCTCAGAAAACAAACCAATATATGATAAACTAACTCGCATTCTGTATTGTATCAGCCCTGAAAAGTAAACAGGGCTTTCAATCAGGCAAGGCTGCTACACTGCCTGTAGTTCACTCTTGTTTTAGAAAAGATGCTTGACACTAATTTCCTTTAAGGTTCTCAAGTGTTTCATCTGAATTTACCTTTTTGCAGCTATTTTCTAAAATACTGTAAACAAAGCTCCTAAAAAATTAATCAGGAAAAGAATGTTTTGATTGGTGATTTTTTTCCTTAGATTTATCCAAGGAAAAAAATTAATTCAAGTTCAAATAGCAGAAAAAATTGAAGATTTTCAGAATTATTAATTGGAAAGTACAGCTTTTATCCCGTGTAATTAAAATACATGACTCGTTGTCCTTGTTACTCTGCTTGTGTAATGCATTTGTCTTAAAAAAAAAAGAGATCTTAGTTCTTGACCATAAAAAAATTTCCACTCTACCTCTAAAATAATCTCTGTTCAGAAATCCCTTCTCTAAACTTGTTTCTTCCATTTATACAATCACAATCCACCATATAATTTGCTGCTATTCGAGCTCCCCACAATCTGCTCAGTTCTGCTCTCACCTTACTCTAGCTCCTTCCTCCAAACACCCTTTTCAGACTGATTCTCTTCCTAATTTCTAGTCTCTACTGAATTTACCACATCAATCTCTAAGTGTGTCCATGTACTACCTGAATCCCTTCTGCAGATTTCTGATTGCTCATCATTCCTGGTTCTCCCTCTTGATTACTGGATGCATCACATCCCCTCTTGGACTGGTTTACCCTTCCCAGGCTCAGCCTTAAAAGGCAGATTTTCATTTGATCATAGTTCCAAACACCACTAAGCCTCAAATTTTCTTGCCTTCCAACCTAAATCACCAAAATACTAAAAAAAGGAATGGTGCCTTAACACTAACTTCTTTTTTGTTTACACACAGAAACACCAGCAGTTCCCTTCAGCCAATGGCTCTAGTCTTCAAACCACTGCATCCACAACGTAAGGTGGAGAAAAGAGCAGAGGTACCAGAGCTGCTTTTTATACAAGTCATCAGTAATGGCTGCTCTCTCTCTTCCCAAGAGATGTCTGGCTTGGAGGTCTATAAACCCTACCGTCTGCTGCAAGGCACACACAGCCAGGATAGTGCTCTGTAGATCACCCAGAGAGAGAATCTCCATCTTGGACCTCAAAGGAAACAGAAGAAAAAAAAGAAAAAAAAAAAACACCAAACCACCAACACCGAGAATCCCTTCCCTCCTCTCTCTGTTTTTGCATGAGCTGCCAAATTAATAAAGAACAGCTTGGATTCACATCATCAATTTATTATATAACAATTTAACAATTTATTCAAGCCATAACTCCGTACGATTGACTTTAATTCCTTTAACGGAAGAAATTACAGCTTCAGGAAATAAAACCATACACCTCTAATTAATTAAACTATTTGACATCAACACTATCATTCATATATATAAACAGTGTTCATCTCTGGGCAGTTATCACCATGCCTAGAAAACTATTTCTCATCACGGAAAAGCACCATGCAGTAGAGCACAAAGACCAATGAAAATCTGTCAGCTTCAATCTATCAGTTTGCCTAATAAGCAATAATTGATAATGTTATTAACATTAAT